AAAATAATCCCAGGTGAACATTTGACCGTTAACGACTCGGTACCGAATCAAATGAAGCGAAACTGCTTTAAATTTTGTTCTCTCGCTCTCGGAAAACGGGCTGTAATTCAGTTTTTTTTAAAAGACAAATCGTTGTCGTTCTATCTCCAGTTATGAAGTGAAATATTTACTGAAGCAGTAAGGTAATTTCCTCGTTGTATTCGGCTTTCCGGCGAGTGGGTGCCTCGGTCAACAGCCGACTGAACGTGAATAGTACAGCTGACTTTGAAGCACTACGGCTAGACGGAAACTTTGCGGATAAGTCAAGCAAAACTTGAAGAAGAGATGGCTAGAGAAAAAAATTAAAACATTAAGGTAAGAGAACTTTTATGTCTCTTTCATGCTGAAAATATATTTCGTACAAAGCGGTGTTATTGTGTGCGCAGCGAAAGTTCAAAGACAATTGGGCATTTGATTCAATTCAAAGTTTATTATTCGAACCAATACAAACAGAATTTACGTTCTGTTTTCTCTGTAATTTTCGAGGGTAAACTGGCTTTTACCTTGGCAAAAATGTTCCATTCGTAATTCTTTGCTGCCAACATTTCGCGAATATTTCACCGTCAAAGTATATTGTACTGTTCACAAGTTTTTAAAACGATTCTCCGTTCATTCATTGAATTGTATGAATCGTAAGACTGACCGGCGCTATAATAGATTACTCGTTTGACTTTCGAAGCTGAATTTCATCTATTTAAGAAAAATTTTCCGTGCAAAGAAATTTCTACGGATAGCTATATTGAAAGAATTTAATTGACGATCGATTTGAGCCTTAAAAATGATGACGCAATTTTAGCGTAGGAAAACTTTTTGTGTTTCAAGGTGCTATTTCTACGGTGTTTAAAGGCGTTTGGCCTTGCGGAACATTCAATTCCCGTGTAATGAGTTAAGTATTTCTTTACTCTTTTTCTCTCATTACAATTCTCGTATTGGCCTTCTGTCAGTTTTGTTCCACTCAATTTAGTAACAACGATTTACATTTCATTGGTCATGCTTCACAGAAAAGACAATAACCCGTTTTCATAATCCACCCCCAGGGGGGAAGCGTCGAGAATGGTTTTAAATTTATAACCCAATAACTATTAACGAAAAAATTCTTCTACCTATATCAATCAAAAGAGAGTAAAATAGTTTTACTTTTCTCCGCTAATGCAGATAACTTAGATTGTAAAAAGGACTCAGTTGGAAAGCTATTTTGTTTGTCATACGTCAGTATCACTCGAAAACACCGTCAGTTCACTTTCACTTCCAATACTTTTTTTCCTCTTTTGGCTGTTTGCGTCGAGTCGGGAAGAAAAAAGAAGAACTGCAATATGAACAATAAAACTATTTATCACATCGTACTCATATTTCTTGAACCCGAAGAGCCGTAATATCATGATTTTAGACATCTGCGGCAGCTTCGGAAACCACTGTCGTCGAGTATGAGTTATTGGTGTATGAAAACAAGCTACCGGGGGAGGTGTAATTCAACATTTGCTTAACTCGCGAGAGAACGCCTACGATATAAAAGTGATCAATTTTCATTCAAGCCAATATGTGTATTCAGTGCAATATAATTAACCAATTTGGGGATTTTCGTGACCGTTTTTAGCAAGCTGTAATATCCGAAATGCCATTTACCGTCATTTTGACTACGCAGTTGTGAAGTGCTTTTTAAAAATGTCTTTAAATTTTCCCTCGTTAAGAAGATGATGCAACTGACGTCCTGTATGATTTTTTATACATATATTTTTGCCTCCTACGTTTCAACTCTTAAATTCAAGTGGCCTTTGAAATACAATTTTTATTAATCTCCGGTTTCGGAAAAACAGAACAGAAACGCGTTGAAAACCATTTGATCTTGTCATTTTTTTACAAACTAAGTTAACAAAAATGCGATGGGGGTGAACGCAAGTCCATATGGCTGAAAAAGAAACCTTTATCTATCACCACTGGCCTACGCATGTTCAACATCTGTTCAGATCATCAACTTATAGAACTCGCCTATATCAACTGAGCATTCCACTAAAGGGACATGGAAAGCCTTGGTGGTTTTTGATTTTCGGTGTTCATGAAAAAAAGTCCGGGGGGACTCCCATGTCAAAAGGACGGGGGTGCTCGTGGGAGATTTTGAAAAGAAACCCTAAGAGGTACCAAGATCCTATTTTGTGGGCATGGGTTGGATTTTTTTTTTAACCTGGCTGAGAGGTACCAATTCAAATAAAGCAACACATTTACTGACACTTATCATTTTTAATAGCGATAAAGACGATTGCTTCAAACACCTTCTACTTGTAAAGTTGATCAATACCACAAAGGTTCCCGCTGTGGACCTTTTGAAGCTGAATTCCCTTAGAGGCGCCAAAACTGCTTTTTTGACTCTCTAAAGGTACAACGAGCACCCTCGTCCTTTTCATATAGGAGTCAACCCGGGGAAAAAAAATCGAGAACTTTGAGCAGCCTGTCGGTATCATCGAGAGACGTCATGTTAACGCGGGGGTTGACATTAAGGCCGTATTTTGGCTGGGCATGATTATAGTTTTAACGCAAATATCTCGTTCACGTTTCAAGCAGTCAAAAATCTCTCTGCTCGTCCCACATATCTACGTTTTGGGCTGTTTTGTAATTTTTTTGGTGAATTTTTGGGTATATTTGGGTATAAATAGTTTTTCTCAAAGGATTAGTTAAATTTATGGAAATAGGAAATTTTGAAGATTTGATGTTGTTTTAAAATTAGAATTTGAAGTTAAAAATTGGTAGGCGTACACCAAACAGTTGTCCACCAACCTGGGTTGTCCTTTCGGGGGCGTTCAACTGTCTGGTGGTGTTCCAAACCTTTTTTCCCTTTTTAATCCTTCGTTAAACTTCCTGAAATTTGACTTAAATTCATGATAACCCCCCTCCTTAATTTGCACCAGAAATCCACCGACGTCCGAAAGCGTCCGACTCCGTGCTCTGATTATTACTACATAAGCTAACTACATCAAAATAACTTTCATTTCTGATGCTCGTTGTTCATGAGTTTTTTCAACATCCCGCTAAGCTAAGCCGGTAAATCACAGAATTACAAAGGTACATTAAGTTGGAATTCACTTTGGCTGCGGCCATCTGATCGATAAAGATTAGAGGTAATCGGCTTACTGGCGCTGTTGTTGTTTTCTCTGTGTGTGAAGGTGGGGGGGGGGGGGGGATTTAATCCTCGTACCCATACCTTTTTCTCACTTCAGTGGACGAGTAATAAGAAGATGCGCAGCAATTACGGACTGAATCTGAAAAATAGATTCTTTTAAATCGAAATTTATTGGGAGATGGTAACCTTCCTGTTTTGAAATAATCCAGAACAGCACGTAGGGTCTAAGCCTGGATGTAAGCACTGTAAAAATGGTAAGCTTTCATGGGAATAACGATCAAAATGTTTGCAATAAACCAGCAAATTCCCCCCAAAAAGAGAAAAATTAATCAAGCCAGCAAGACACTCCTAAATTACAAAAATTCACGGTCCTCTCTTTTCTCATATTTTTCTTTGATCACTGTTTCTCGTGCGTTCTCTCCGTTGCAACTTAAGACAATAGAACTACAACCAGCACCTTCCCCAAAGGATAGTGAATGAAAACGTGAATAAATAAATAAAAATAAGAAATGAAATAAATAAACGAAAAAATGAATCAGCAAATAACACATTAACATCCTTAAAAAAAAGTTGAGTTAATTATTAAAGGAGCTCGAGTTATATTGGTCACGTCAAAAATTACCTTGAAATTGAACTCGGAAACCTGAAAATAGTCTTTTCCTTAGATAGAAAAACACCAAAGAAATAGTAATCAACCATAAAGGAACAAAGATGATTAAGGATAGAGAAGACTAACTCGAATTACAAACGAGGAACTTGAAAAATGTAGGCTAAACTTTTCAAGATCAGACCAGGAGCCCTTTGAAAGGGCCTTTGCAGTCCTGATAGAAGTTGGTAACCTGTGTGGAATCCCCGCTAGTGCTAGTGGCATGGGCGTTATAAAATACTTACTTATCTTTCATTCATCATTGACGCCTCCGGAAAACTATTACAAGATGAAATCAATATGGGCTGGGTACGACGGTATGTATGAAATGGCAGTTGATCTGTCGAGGGCAGAATGCCTTTGATTCGTATGAGTCGCTATGAGTGCAGTTTTTCACGATCTATAAGATGAAATAATAGCTATGGAAAGACAGCATCTGTGGGAGAAGCTTTCTGGTTTACGCTAGTCCTTACAGGTTTCATCCCAGATGAAATTTTAAGTCGATTTTTGCTTCATCGACATTTTGACATTAGTGACCACAGAGACGAAAATCCGCGAACGCAGACAGCACAATGGCTTCGTTTTCTCTACATGCACGTTTCTGTTCGCTTCTTCGTAACCGGTAAGTTAACGGTCAATCATCTGTTGTTCTTTGTTATTTTACTTTGGTTTATGTTTTCGGCGTTGTTTATCTCCACTGGCCTGTAAAATTGGAACAAATACACAGCTCTTCACAATGAAAAGCTTTAAAGGTCAAAATAACACGCTTTAAATGTTGTGATGCGATGAGGCTGTTTCAAACGCGACAACCAACAGCTCCCAAGTTTATGTGTTGATTTTGAATGTAGTATGTAGACAGAAAGTAGTTTAGCTCTCCTGAGGAAATCAGTTCGCAAGACTACATAAATCTTTTTTAAAAGAATTATGTACACATCTCTAAAAATAATGAACAGGTGGCAGTCAGACTTTCCGTTGAATCACGCATATGTCTGAACAAAACTGAAAACAACCTTACCAGGGATATACATCTAAAATTTAATTTTAATAAAGTGAAAAATTCGATCACTACTCTTTTACTCACCTTTACGTTCATTCCATTAGCTCAAGCGGCTCTTTAAATTTCATCCATTAGTGTCCTATCTTAATTTGGTTTTTATCAACGTAACATCGACTGACATAACATAAAACGCAGTTTACTTTTATTCTAAAGTTTTCGGCGTTTTGTGATTTGCGTTGCTGTTTTATTTTTTGCAAGTAAGCGAATTCATTTCTTTAGTTCGTGAAGCAATTCTTCTCGTTAAGATCTTTCTGCTTTCTCATGCGATGAAGATTCCATTTCTGGGTGTAGATATCTCAGTTTACGTTAGCCGAGTTATTTGGAGTGTTTGTCAGCTCGCCATGTCTATTCAGACGCCTGCACGCATGAGAGATAGAGTCAATTGGTTATTTTTTAGTAGAATATTTAATTTAAGACACGCAACGGCGGGCCTTTCAGTAATTTAATGGCTTCACGCGTCTTTGACAAAAAGTTAGGAAATCAATTTTTTACACGTATCTTAGCCCTAGTTATCAGTATTTCAGTCGATGGACGCGCTGCATTTAGTAAGGTGATATCTCCAAGACATAAGAGTAATTTCGGTTGATGTCTCCATAACAACCATTAAGTAGCGTCTTTCACTGAGTAGCGTGGCTGGCGGTTTCTAAAAGCTCATGTAACGCGTCGGGTTGAACATAAAAATAGACAGAAGAGATGTCTGCTCATTAACTCAGATTTGCTGCTTTAAATATGGTTTTTCAAGGTGGAGAATCTTCTCGCCTAATTGACTAAGCATGGAGGTAAATAACTTCTCATTTTTCGTCTTTATATATTTATATATTTTTGTAAAAACAGAATGAGATAACAGTGTGATTAACAGAACTTTAGTCTGGGTGAACCACGCGCCGCTTGATGCCTGTTTACGTTGATCCCACGGTCGAGCGACCTAAGTGAATACAAAAATATATATATTCTTCGGTTTTCATGAGGACGGTGTTTATCTGCATGAAAGATCAACAATTAGGGTTAAATTTTCCAACTTGGTAGCCAAATGACATATATTTGATGAGGCCGGAAAACAGGGAAGTATTATTTAAAAGGTTAAATATTTATCCATTAGATGCGTAGAATATTTCATGCCTTCAAGCGTGGGTACATGTGACGTCTAAAGCAGTTTCGCAATGAAAAATCAGCAAGGAAGACCGAAATTGCGACAAACACAGAAAATCTATTAAGAGTTTTGGGTTATGTGCGATTATTTGAAATGATTCTGTACCCCAGACAATAAATAATTGCATATGATGAGCTCCCTAACTTCCTTTCCTAATCGGTCCGCTAAATCAATTAAACATTAAAAATTATAATTTTTAATGCTACACTGAATATAAAGCAGTCGCTAAGTAGTGCTATTGTGATCAAATTTTTACCTCTTTCTGAAAAAGTTGCTTTGATTCGCGCTACCAGTAAAAATGAAATTTTCGATCCGCAAAATTTCAATTTTCACTGAGGCACTGAAACGCGAAAACACGACACGCGTCACGCGAGTGATCGAGATACGTTGTCAATCCAAACCATCGCTGATTCGTACCCGTGGAACACTACTGATCAACACTAGGAACAAACTCGCCGAAAAACAAGATATTTATGCGGATGCATTCATTTGATGCAAACACGCACTGTTGATGTGCGCGTTTGATGCTAGGCCTTTCTACAAATACCCAGACATTTTTTGGAAAACTTAAAAGGTTCCAAGATAATGAGAAAATATTAAGATATATAGAAAGGAAACATTTTGGCTGAGACCTGTGTTTTTTTTGTTTTTTTGTTTTTTTTTTCGCTTTTTTATTCCGTCTCTACTCCTTCAGTTCTCTCCTGCAAAAATTTGTGAATATTTTGAAACTTTTGGAAGCGACTCAAAATCGGTTTATTTTTTAAACAAAGATATTATGAGAGTTTTTCGAGATATTTAGAAAAAATGTGATATTTAGGAAAAAATGGAGAATTTCCAGAAAGATAGTTTGGCGATTTTACGTTGTATTTTTGGAAAGACCTATGGATTCGCGCGTGTGTTGAGCCGGGTACGAACATTGCCGTGATTCGTTTCTATTTTTCTCCTCTGACTGTTCCAGATCATGGACAAGCTAGAGATCATTATCACGGTACTTCTACTCTGCCTGGTAGCACTAGGCGTGTACGTGGCCACTTCATGGACACTTGCCTGGAAGAAGAAGAAGGAGAATGAAGGAGGTCGTGTGGAGGTCCCGTACAAATATCTGGAGGAGGAAGCAGAGAACGCTCGGAAGAAAGTCGCCACGGCCTATGCACAAGAGACTATGCCAAAAATTACCATCACTCCTGTACAACCACGGCCGGACTTCCCTAGGGTACGAGATATGAGTCACTGTTAACGCGCAATAATAGGGTATGAGTTGGAGTGGTGCAAGCGCGCATTGAAGCCACGCGCGTATCCTCGCTCGCGCGCACTGCTCCCACTCGCTCCCTATTATTACTCGAACGCTTAGTGCGCAGTCCACTTGCTGACCGACGGACCACTTACTGGCCCTCTGTCTGTCTGTCTGTCTGATCAACATACAGACAACAGACTGACGGATGGCTGTCCTGAGAGTCTTTCTGACTCGCTCACCGACCCAGCTGCTTATCAACTAACCAGCTAAATGATCCTCTTTCTCTGACTGACTACGAACTGACTAACTGAATTACTGACTGACAGACCGATTGACTGTCCGACCGACCGACTCACCAGCCCTCACCCACCTACCCATTGCACTGACCATCTATCGGACTGACCACCAGACAGACAGACAAACGATGGATCGGCCCACCAGACTTCACTGACACCCATCAATTAACCCATTGACCGAGCTTCTAACGGACTGATCGCCAGGTAGAGACACGGACAAACCTTTCCTTGTCGGAAACTGTATTCCTTTTAGGCGCTACGGTTTATAAGATCTTTACTTTTTCTTGTAGAGTTTAATGTCTTCAGACGAATTGTTTTCCGATGAGGAGGAAGAAGAGTCACACAGCGATGATCATCTAGACTTGGGAAGACTTTATTTCGCTCTTAGATACGATCAACACCGGTAAGACAAATGTCCCAACTCTCCTTACTGATTCCCTTACATGTCTTCAAATAGTTTAGTTTTTAGTTTTATTATCGCACACTGTTTACAGAAAAACAACTTAACGTAAAATGTCAGTGCTGAGAATTTGGCGGGAGATCTAAACAATACCTTCACGTTTATGATGATTCTCTTTATTCTCCTTACCTATCTACTTGGTTATATATAATGGTTGCAAGGAGAAATTCATTGTTGATCATGAGGTCGCGGGATCAAGTCCCGCTCTGATCACTAAGCTGAAGTTGTTTCTTGGTGGACCCTAGTTCAACTCCTCGGTCATGTTTGTAAATAGCCAACTGTTCTGCCCTCTGCTGGTTGGGATTTTTAAGCCTCTTACTGTTGATTTGAAATATTTGTTTCGTTCATTTTAAGAGGCATGCCTGTGAACTAGCTAGGTGTTGCTAAGCGCATTGACCACTATAAACAAACATTGAATACTTTTTTAACATTCTTCGAAATTCGGATCCAGATTAAATGTTATTCTTGGCATGGTTTGTCTCCTTCGCATAGTCGGGGCAAATTTGGAACGTCGCGCATTGTTTCTCTTAGCGGAGCGATGCGTGAAGATTCAGATAACGTTAGTTTTTGCCACTGAACTGGCGAGGACGGGGAAAAAAATGGAAAGGTAAAAAGAAATAGAGGATATTACATGGGCGCGAGGAGATAGGAAATTTCTGTTCGAGTTTTGAAAAGTATTTCACGAGTGAGCGCAGCCAACGAGTAAAATATGTTTAAACACGAGAAGAGAAATTTGGTATCTCCAAGCGTACACATGTAATGTTTTGTTAATTTTATAGACACCAATGAAATACCAAACCATTTCACTTTCGCTCAAAAAGCCTCAATGTATTATGTAACTATAGCAGCGGTGATCTTTTTACACGGGTTATTTTTTACGTGTGAATATATCATGTTTTCACGCGAAAGATCCCCTTGTATTTCTTTGGTGTTGTTTATATAAAAAAGGTATTATGTCTCTCTCTACTCGGAAGCGAAAGTTATCCTCCTCGAAGAATCAAACTATGAAACTGTAAAGATGCCCAGGGACCTCATATAAAGTTTTCTATTTCTGTAGTTCCATGTTGATTGTGCGACTGATCAGAGCTGAGGACATTCCAATGGAGCGAGAAGCATCGAGTACTTACGTAGATGTTCATCTCCTTCCACTCAATCTACAGAGCCATACGTTTGAACCCTTCGACACCACAATTAACGTCAGTTTCAGGTATGAGATGAAGATAAATTTTTGCAGAAGTTCAGGGGGTACTCCCAGGAAAATTGGGTGGGGGAGTGCGGCCCACTTCCGCAAAACCCTTACCTTATTTATGACCAAAATCTGCGGTTTTCCCTACAGTATTTATGACCTGATCAAAAATTCGATATCCTATTTATGACTTGACCCTTAAATCAATACCCTGTCTCAGACCAGCCTTATAATGAGCTCCCTAGTTCAGAATGATGTTAAAGGCATCGCGAAGGGCTTCTGTTGATGGTTGTATCGATAATGATGAGAGAGTAGCTTCATCTAGTAAACAACATACCCAATTCAAGACTAGAGTGTAAAAACCATACCCTATTTAAGACCAAAATGACCAAAATCGATACCCTATTTCTGAGCAAAACGGCTAAAACCCGGGAGCCCATGGCTCCTGCTAAAAGCCATACCCTTAAGCTGAGGGCCATACATACCTATGTATCCCACATAAGGGAGTATGCCCTCCCGGTGGGGAATGAATTAGCAAATTCACTGTTGACATTTTACCTCATTAGTATACGCGTGGTATCATGTCAAATACCAAGAAAAGATAATTTCTATTGTAGAGACGAATTGACTCCAAACTGACTTATTATTCCACAGGGAAGTGTACGAGTTTCCGCTGTCCCAATCGGACTTGGCACAACAGACACTCAACCTGCACATATGTCGTTATGACAGCTATTCCCGACGGACCTCTATAGGTGATGTGTTTCTAGCTCTGGCTGAATTAAGCGCACAAGGAATTGATTTTACACGAGAAGTCTTTCTCTGTCGAAACATCATCAGCCATCAAGAGGTAGGAATTTTTTTTCTCTGTGGTTATCCCATAACAGTGTTCTGTAATTGGTTAAAGAAAAACCCATACGATAAGTTTTAGCCAGTTACAGCAAAACTACTTCGGTGACTTCAGCCCGGTCCTCACTAGCGACGCAAGCATAAGCATAAAAGAAGCTTATGCGCTAGTGAGGACAGCCACGACACAAGCATAAGCATAAACATAAGAATATCAAAACCTTGCGTTCTTGTTATGCTTATGCTTATGCTTATGCTTATGCTTATGCTTATGCTTATGCTTATGCTTATGCTTATGCTTATGCTTATGCCGCTATATTGTCCAGTGAGGACATGTTGGCATAAGCATAAGCGTAAGACTTTCAGCCAATCAGGGAGCACTTTATGCTTATGTCAACATGTCCCCACTGAACATAAGCATAAGCATAAGCATAAGAAGAAAGCTTATGCTTATGCTTATGTCGCGGCTGTCCTCACTAGCGCATGAGCTTCTTAATGCCTATGTTTATGCTTATGCTTGCGTCGCAAGTGAGGACCGGCCTTTTAGCGTAGGCACGTTTTCCCGCGCTTGGCGCCGGTTTCAAGTTTTCCCGCGCTTAGGACTGGTTTCATGTTGTCCCGCGCTAGGCACCTGCGGCACTTGAAGCTCTGATTGGTCCAAAGAATTAGTTCCATTTGCCGTGATTGGCAAGCCGTGATTGTTTATTATTATTAAGCCACTAATAAACATTATTATTATTATTATTATTATTATTATTATTATTATTATTATTTTTCACATAGATCTACCGTACACTGGGCAGAAGGAAACGTCTGCGTCCTGTCGATGAAGAGGGACAAGATGAGAGTGAAATGAAACCCGAGTCAAAACCCAAAGAAAAAAAGGTGAGACAGATCTCACTTAGTAGCCTTCCTCCTCTTAACTCCACGCCGGTCTTTCTTCATATCTGATCTTATTGCCTGCATATTTCAACACTTTTATTAGACCTTTTGATATTTACAATTTCATGGCATTCCTAGCTATTGCTAATTCATACTCGGTTCTCCTGCATCTCTTTCAGGCTTCAAGAACAGTGAGCTCCCAGCGGATGTGGGATGTTCTCCGCAGAGCCGTGAAGTCAGGTTCATACAAAGGAGAGAATTTGCCTTCGGAGTCTGCCATGTACTGGGAATCCATATTCTCACCCGGGGCCTCCAGTGTGGAAGGACAGAGGTTTGTATCAGCGCCAACCAGCCCCGTCAAATCCCCTGAATTTGCCTACTTCTCGGGCCCAGGCCCTCCACCTGAACGCCACGGTGACACCAGCGAAGAAGAAGGTGTGGAAGAAAGGGAGGAATCCGCTCTTGATTTCCCTACAGAGGAATCTGAGTTTGATTCTTCTGCCAATGAACAAGAGAGCGACAGGCACAAGGAATGGTCCCAGTCTCCTCCGATCAAGACTGTTCAGCTCTCCCCAGCTCCCGAGGAGTACTATCGAATCGTGCCTATCACCCCTTATAAAGACAATGGAGAAGCTCCTGAGCCCTCATTCTCCTGGAAACTTCCACACACGTATTCATCACGTGATCGTGATGTAGTACAGACTCTTACCCAAGCCTACAAGGAACCTCGGGTTGTGCCTTTCGCAAGCGTTTCCCAGTTCGAGCCCGGCGCCCCGCCAGCTAAAAAAGTTTCGTTCAGCCCGCCTTCGGTTCAAACCGGAAGTGACGTCAGAGAGCGTAGGCCGGCACAGTCAAAGATATCAAAACAGAAAAAAGTGGGTGATACAAAGAGGACGGCATCTAAAGGAAAGAGAAAAACTGTTGCATCCAAAGAGAGAAAGAAAATGTCTCCTAGAAAGGAACCTGATGGTGAGCCCGCGGAGAAGATGGTCAGCTCAGTAAAAGGGAAAGCCAGGTACTTGCCCTCAAAGTTTCGGGGTAAATCATCGCTAAAAGGTCACAAAATAGCTTTTCGGCGAAAAGAACGAGAGCCTTCCGAAGGTTTATCGAACGAAACGTCAGAAGAAGAGTCGCTGGTAGAGACTCCTTCAAGATTAACGGAGGATGTTGCAACTGGAAGTGGAGGAATGAACTTCCCGTCAATCTCCACCGGAGACTACCGAACTCCACTGTTATCTCCTTTAAAAGACTTTTATTCAATTACCCGATCGCAGTCGGATCCGAACGTAGATGTCGAACACTTCCGAAGTTTAGGCGAATCGTCTCCGGGATCCCGACTGACTCGTTCGATGTTGGAAGTACGTGGCGACAGAACAACGGATGAAGAAGAACAATGAAAATTACTGAAAAGAACATAAGATTCAATCGATAAAGAAGAATGATATTTTTATCAAAAACAAATTTGAAGGTACTCTTTAGTACAAGTTCAAAAGTTTACAAATTCATGAAATTCGATTTTGTTAACGTTTCAGTTTCAGAGAAAAATGGATTATGTCTTGGCCTTATTATAGCCTTGTTCTACTCAATTATAGAATTCTTGATTGTTTGAGTCTAAACTTGGGCAAGGAGTGCATGTGGAAATCGGGGACTGGCCGCTCTATAGCTAGGTCCAGCAGTTTGTCGATGAATCACAAAAATAAAACACAAATATCGATATTTTCCACACGAGTTTCCAGATGTAATTCCTTGAAATGGGAAAAAAATCGTTGTATATTAATAGGAAATGTAATTCTTTGAAATGAGAAAAAAATTCACTTTAAGTGACCAGGAAATAACAGTTTAATAATTAGAATATAGCTACATCGACAGGAATTTACTATGTATATTACAGATATATATTCAAAATAAATCTATACACGGAGCTACCAAAGGCTTGGCTCAGTTGCATGATTTTAGTGATTAGACACACGTTTCTCACGTTTCTAACGTTCCTCACTTTTCTAACGTTTCTCACATTACTCACGTTTCACGTTTCTAACGTTTCTCGCGTTTCTAACGTTTCTCTCATTTCTCACGTTTCTCACATTTCTAACCTTTCTCGCGTTTCTCAAGTTTCCTACGTTTCCAAAGTTTCTCAAGTTTCTCGCCTTTCTAACGTACGTTTCTAATGTTTCTCACATTTCTAACGTTTCTCGCGTTTCTCGCGTTTCTCCCGTTTCTCTCGTTTCTCGTGGTTTCGCGAACAGCGAATATGCGGGAACGACAGAGCCAAACGTTAGCTCGTACGTTTGCCAAAGCCGACCTAACGGTGCTAACTGCTAACTGCAAGCAAGCATTAACTCATTTATTTTGTGTAAACAACATCCAGGCGTCTAAACCCCATACTCCCTCGATGTACGCCTGTGATGTAGCTTCTCCTCTCTGGCATGAGAGCCCGCTCGTAGGCTATTGATTTTTTTTTTAAGTTCAACCTTGCCTTTGACCAGTCAGACATAACTGACGCAACCACGCGCGCACAATGAAACAACCTGCAAAACTTCGTCAATCGTGAAGGCCAGTTCATGTTTTGATCTTGGCCAAACATTCGATAAAACTCGTGGGATTTTGGGTTACCATTTTAGTATTGATCTCCTCTGGGAGTTAAATTGTCAATCAACAATCATGGAATCCAGTGAAGAGAGGATCAACCGCACATGATGAACGAGTATGGCCGGGAAAAATGCGAGTTTCATCAGAGGTACGTGTTATAGTGTAGTCGACCAAACTAGCCGCTGATGTCTAGCAATAAACGTTACAAATGTCAGCAAATCTCGGAGAAAGAATATTTTACTGGCTATCCGACGCAAATAAACTCAAAATAACTGGTAAGAAAAACCAAACAAAAAATCAAAATAAACACACCAGCGAGTTCGAGATTCTTTGGCGTAACTATGATTGGTTCCTGACACCAAACGTGTTTAAATAGATGAACTTTCCAAAGCTAATAATTACTTGTAACAAGGTCCAAGCCAAAAAACAATCCACCTTTCAAGAAGAATTGTTTGTAACAACGAGCTCAAATTTTCTTCATGCTGATTGGTTTGTAAGCGGAGGGCATTTTTCGTTAATTTTAGTTCGTCGAGAGCAAGCAAAATTACTCCGAAGATTCCCGAAGAATACCCGAGGGCCTAAGAAGTTTTCCGAAGCTGGCCCGAAGCTGGTGCGTTCTGAAGATTGCCAAAGATGACTCTAAGCCTTCCCTAGAATTTCAAAGATCACCCAAGGACTTTTGAAGATTTTCCAACGTTACGGGAAAGTCGCCCCGATGTTTTGCATACAAATTTTGTCTTTT